ATTTTTGGACTTTATAATTCTAATGATTTGTAACTTTCCTCAGTTCTGGAAAATTCTGAAACATTTCTTTAAATAGTTCCTCCTCTCATTGTCTCTATTACCAATTATTGGAGAGCTTATCAGTTGCATTTTAGACCTTTCATTCTACTTTACTTATTTTTTATTCATGCATATTTTCCATATTTGTGTCTTAATGCTGTATCTCCCAGATTTATCTTTCAGTTCTTTAATTCTGTCTTCAGATGTGTCAAATCTGCCATCATTTAACTCATCCATTGAGTTTCTTATTTTAAATGTTACATTTCTTGTACCAAGACATTTTATTGCTGCGTTTTTATTTTTTAAATATCTTTTTATTCATATTTTGAATTTTCATTTTCTTTTAAAATCATATTTTTTATACTTATTTTATATCATGTAATTCTAGCATCTAATATTTTTAGGGGGTCCGATTCTACTGTTTATTGTTTCAATCGACTCTTGCTACGGTACCTTGTTTCCTTATGTGTTTGTGGATTTTCATTGTGAATACTCAGATTTTCTGCAGTATTTAAAAGTGTGGGCTCAATTTTTTTTTCTTTGTCAAGAGCCAAAACATAGGCAATTGGTCTCTTATAAGTTTCCTTTCTGGAACAGATTCTTCCTTAAATTCAGGGCTTTGTGAATATCTTGTTCTGACACTTTTCTGTGTGCTTTGGGCTGTATTTCCTATCTTTTAAATGTGTTCCATCAATTCTGAAGTTCTAGACCATGAGATCAAGCAGATGCTACCACAACGGCCACCTGCTTCAGTGATTTTCTGTATTTTTCTGGTTTCATGAATTCTCATTGTTTTCTCCTCTGAGTATTTATCTTATTTCTTTGCCAGTTCATTTGCGCTGATTTTTTTTATTGTGAATTTTTGAAATTTATACTTGGACTATTATTTTTATTGTGGTAAATTTACATATGGTAAATGCACAAGTCTTAGTAAACAGTTTGATAAAGTTTTTTTCATGTGTATACGTATGTGTACTCATCACCCAGATGAAGATACAGGTAATCTCCAACCCTTCCCATGTCCCTTCATGTCTTTCATGTTCTTTCTTAGAGGATTTTAAAAGATAGCCATTCTACCATATTCCCAGAAATCAATGGATTGAATTTTCAATTGAGTTAGTCTCTATAAGGTTAATATTTGTGTTTTGATAGGATTTCTGAAGGGGTTTGACCCTAATCTCTTTCTCATATTTTTTTAACTTTACTATTTCTTCATCAAAGCTTAGCATCAGTACCAGGCACAGTGGCACGTACCTAAAGTCCCGGCTACTAAGGAGGCTAAGGCAAGGGGATTACTTGAGCCCAGGAGTTGGAGCCTGAAGTATGCTATGATCATGCATATGAATAGCCACTGTACTCCAGCATGGGCCACACAGCAAGATTTTATATATAGATATATATTTTTAATCTTAGCACCAATTCCTGGGTTTGTGGTTTTGCTTCTTTTTCACTCTGTTTTATGTGAGTAGCTAAAGTCTTTGATATTTTTCTCTCTCTTAAAGGCACTCCGCATCATGGGGAGAGTAATGCGTGAGTGTTGGTATGCCAACGGGGCAGCCCGCCTAACTGCCCTTCGTGTTAAGAAGACTATTTCTCAACTTTGTGTCAAAGAAGACTGCAAAGCCTGATGATGATGGTTTTGTTAAAAAGAAATCTCTCATGGCTTTCTCTCCCATGTCCCTCTTTATGTGAATGTTTTGCCTTTTTGTCGTTGTTGTTCTACCTCAAAGATAACGCAGTACAGTATTTAAGTGCCCACAGGCAGCATGAAAAGATAACTCTAAAGTTAAGCATGAGCAGAAGTTGACTTCATCCAGTCTCCATGTTGTGTTTAATTTTATTTTGAAAAGCAACACAGTAACTCATCCTTTTATTTAATAAGAAAGAATGATATTATGAAAGTGTAAAATAAGCTGTGTAAAAGTAATAAAGTC